TTTAATTTAAAATATATTAAATTAGAGGAAACAAAAAATAGGAGAAAAAATTCGATAAAATTTTACAATAAAAAAAAAAAAAATAATAATAAATTAAACATAAATCAATTACAAACAAAAATTCCAACAAAATTGTTAACTAATGCCAGTACTTTTTTGCATATCACTTCGAATCAATTAGATCAATGATCATTCTGTGATCCCATCGATATCATATTTCTCATTCGTTCTCATAAGTTAGAACGTCGAGAAACAGTTTCATTTGGTTTTGTCAACTACTCTGCAGCTCTCTTCTCGTGGTCACAGATTCTATCCTCGTGTTGATGTGTGGGAGAAACGTGAAAGGCAATGGGTGTACGCACAAGGAATGTGGAATGTTTACAAATGCCTATACAGTACTCATTCTCGAACGAGGTTCGTTCACCTATTCTCCGACCACTACATGTGCTCATTATATAGTAGTAATAGTAATAGTAGTAGTAGTAGTAAAAGTAGTAGTAGTAGTAATAGTAGTAGTAGTAAAAGTAGTAGTAGTAGTAAAAATAGTAATAGTAGTAGTAGTAGTAGTAGTATGCGAGAACACACGAGAAAATATAGCTGTATTATATACTTGATGTTCACGATCGTGCGCAATTATCGCGATATGCAATTATTTTAACCGCGTGGGGTAAGCTCCTATTACGATTTATGGTCGTAGAAAAGCATAATCCTAATCAGAGACTTGCGAACATAACTGAATTCCTATACGCAGCTGAAATACCTTACGTAATGTTCTTATCTACATTCCCTATCTACATTTTTTCATTTTCTAACAATTTAGATCAACGATAAAAATAAGGATGTTTTAAGTAATATGTAATATTGATTTTATTATTTATTTCCAAGAAAATCAATTCTATATTCTATTATGTTCTTTCTTTTCTAGCAACTCGTTAGATCAACGATAAGAATGGAATGTTAAAAAGAAATTTGCAAAATAGATTAAAAGCAAAATATGAGAAGAATTTATTTGCTTGTTTTTTATATTATTTAGTTTGATATTAGCATGTTAATTTTAATATTTAAATTGATCAGCAATGATATTCAACTATGACACAAATCACGTGAGACTCCACCCTGTAATACGCATACTCCAGCTATATATTTAATCGATTATGCAGCGTAACTCTCTGTTCCAATTACCGTTAATGGGAACATATCATTTCTACTATATTACACGTGAATTAATGCGTATATTTTTTTAAATCGGTTCATTGCATTGAAAGTTAAGTAAATTAAGTAAAGGGAAAAAATAGAAAAGAAATATTGCATATAAATATTAAAAATTTCTATTCGTTGACGGATACTCACCATTTGTTGAGTAATAAACTAAGCCACTCAGCTGTTTCATCTTTGTACAAGGCTCGTCTTCTTCTTAACCTGGCCAATTCGTTATGAAGAGCTGTTTGAAGTAGTCGCGAGATTCTCGCCTTAACGATTGTACCAACTAATGCCAGAACTAGAACTAACCAGGCTAAGGATAAACCAGCTGCTCCGATTATCCAGGCGATTGTAAGGGCCAATCCAAGGTACAGGGCACCGCGTATTGCTTCTGCATCCCTCTAAAAGACAGAATAAGAAATATAATTCATTAGGTTGACGTATCTCTGAAAAACTAACGGGGTTTATTGAACGTCTTCAAAATGTATTTTCTTTTTTTTTCGAAATTTGATTTATTTTCAATTGAAAAAATATATTAAACATTTGTTACATGACCTAACAAATAATTTTATACCGGCGTGACAGACGTTTGTTCTATCAATGGGGCCACGTGGATCGCTTGTGACCACCCCACAACACTACTATATTATTTTATATTTTATCTTAACATTTTGTGGTCTCTATACAATGCAAAACTTCTTAAACTTATAACAAAGTCAATGTGTGTTAGATAAAATTAAAATAAGATATAATATACAAAAAATCAATGTGTATTTTTCATTTTGTCGTGGTATTAATCGATCGTAAAAACGTCTACCTAAATTAAATATATTCAGAGATAAGATTTAACAAATAGTCAGTTAGAAATGAAAAATACATAGTACCGGTAATGGCCATCAACGTACCTATACGTAAAGAGTTATTTTCTCTTTCTCTTTCGCAGGATATAGGACACGTTTTTGCACATGTCTCACGCAACGTTGCGTGTTTTCTTGTTGAAGGGTTCTATGACGTCATTGAAGGAATGTCATTAACCTTAGATACTGTACGGTCAGATCGTGTTAGCCTGTCTATCTATCGAAGATCAGAACGAATTAACAGTCTTCGTCGTGACTTCGAGCGAAAAAAAAAAATAAAAAAAAGAAAAGATTAAAAAAATAATAAAAAAAAAAAAAAGAAAAAAAGCAGAAAGAAAGAGAGAAAGAGAAAAACCTGTACTCCCTCGTAGTATCTCATAGTACAATCTTTAAAATAAGAAATAAAAAAAAAAAGAAACAATTATGATAATGGAATGAATTAAAAAGGGAACGATATTTTTCTTGTTACAAAATGAAAATCATAAATCCCCGCGCCCCATTCCCATTAAACTCGTATAAAAATATTCACAATATATCATAATATATGCGTGAGTTAAATCGCATAAACGGGATATGATGGCATTAAATTGAATGTTGGTTGGTTAAGAGGAAGGGAAAGATTATGAGGCTCAAAAATGAGGACGCGTAACTCGCGTGAGGGCAGAAAAGAGGATGGAACCGAGAAGCATAAATCCGAATGACAGGCGCAATGACGAATGTCGCGCTGAAATTTCGTGAAAGTTGCAATTATGCGTGCGTTGTGAATAACGGAGAGGAGGAGGAGGATGAGGAGGAAAGGAAAAAAGGAAACAAGGAAAAAAGAAAGAGAAAAAGAAAGAAATAAATAAAGAGAGAGAAAGAGAGAAAGAGAGATAGAGAAAGTGCACTCCACAGAACACTCGAACTTGTCTTCTCGACTGGAGATCGGTTTTCTCTCAAATACTACTCGACCAAGGTGAGATCTCTCGATCATAACGCCTTACCTTGCTCTTTACAATTTACGGATCTCTGCCCTTGACGATATCGAGACGTGCGTTAAATATATATCGCGTTACGTCTCTCTGGAATTCCATTTGAAAACGTACAAAACGAATTGAAATAAAACGAAAACGTTAAGCCGACGCGATTCGTAAAACAAATCTTATTGCAGGAATCCTGATTCATCTTTTTTCTACGATCCAATAACTCGTATTTTCAAGGTTTCCATTTTGTTTTTTTTTTTTCTTTTTTGATGTTTCTTTTTTTCTTTCCGTTTTTAAATGCTCACCGACCTTGATACCATTTATAAGATAAAATATTTATCCTTGAAAATGAAAAATTAAAATGAATTATGTTTCATTCCTGGGGTAGAGTAAAATTTGTTTAGCAAATGTTTTTAAAACGAATATAAAAGTTTCTTATTTTATTATTGAGATAACTTAGATTTTTCTTTTTTCAAGCGTAAGCAAAAATATATAAGTTAGTAGAAACGATCATCGTTGATAACTCGTCCCGCGTTTTTTCGACTTTACGCAATAATAATTGAAGCTGTCCTGACAAGTACGCAACGTGTCATTAATTAGAAAGTCGAGCAATGTTTAAAGGGAACCTATGGGATCGTTAAAATAAACTACGTCTTCTTCGTGTGATACTTTACTTTAATAACCCTAATAACACTCTCTCTGCATGTTACTCTCTCCCTCTCTCTCTCACTCTCTCTCTCTCTCTCTCTTTCCCTTTTTATTTCTCTCTAACGTGCGACACGAATTACATGAACGATCAAAAAGAAATCAAGTGAGCGAAGTGATTTGATTTTTTGTTGTTGCGTCGAGAAAAATTCATAAAAAATTATATCGAACAAAGAAATACCGTGTTTTTCAAGGTACCAGCATTCCACGAAACTTTTATTGTTTTCCACTATCTTCATCAAAATTCGCACTAAATTAGTTTCTTCTTTTTTTTTGTTCTAACTACGAATGTACGTATTTGTGTTTTTATTCTTTTCTTTTTTTCTTCTGTGTTAGCTTTATATACAAGTTCGATTGTTGATTATTTTTATCACAAATATTCACAAAGCACACCTACGTTCGCCAATAGTCTTATTTGTACTGGCAAATCTATTTTTGAACTAACCTAAGCTCTTCTTACGCGGTACGAACCGTCTTGTCTGTAAATCTTTCCGCAATAAATTTCAATATTATTTTCGTAAGATTGTTGTTTTCCCATTCTTTTCTTAAATAATGCATCTTTCTTAAGTAATGAAAATTATTCAACGACAAAATTTGTCCACCAATTTATTCTAATTCTTACATTTATTATTATAACGTATAATCAATAATAACAAAAAAATAAAGTTTAATATAGAAGAGAAATTCTTTGTCGAAGAAAATGAAAAATGATGTTAGGTATGTAAAAAAAAAAAAAAAAGAAAAAAAGGAAGAATATTATCGTCATAGAGGTGGAAAAGTGATTCTTACTAACTCAGCGAATAAGGAAGAAGGTAAGTAAGAACCTAGTGATAAAAATCAGGTTTAAAGTCTCACGGGTGTCGTACCGGAAAGCATTGTCTCCGGTACTTCCCACACGGTGGAAGAATCATTTTCTCTCTTTCGACGTCCTGCAAAATGCAACTTTCCGACATCCAATCTATTTTGATCTGCATTCATTAATTTTAAGACCGCTGAACGTGCAACTAACGTTTACATATTTTCATTTATGTATTCACCAATCTATAAAACCTTCAATGGTCATTTGCATGAACAAAAAAAGAAACTATTCAACATATAATTTGTAACGTATATATATGTATATATATAATAGAAAGAAAAAAGTGATAAGATAAAAAAAATTTGCCAAGTTTTACGAGCGTTAGCGTAGCCAGATTAAATCGACACTGAACTTTTGTTTACGGTCGAAAAAATTTAATAAAAGGGATCAGTAAAAAAACACTTTTTATTAATAAATAATCCAGTAAGCGTATATCGCATTGTTAATCCATTACGGTTCTAATATCGTAACACGATACAGTATTGTACTAAATTCTTAACGAGCGTTTCCTTATTACTTGGAATTCCATAAATATCTTAACACGTATCTTTAATATCTATTCTTTTTTATTCGATAACGATAAATTTCATTTATTAATATTTTAACAAGATTGTTTCAAATGTTTCTTGCTATTTCTTATTAAAGTTCTACATTAGACAATATTTTTTATATCGTTAGTTTGTCAAATTATATTTAATTTATAGAGAAATGTAATCAAGAAGAGTGGACGATCGTATATCATACTCGCATCAGTAAAATAATAATAAATAAAAATGATTACGCGTTTAAAAGATATTAAGAAAAAGTAACAAAAAGAAAAAAACTTCTGGGATGACCCAATTCATATAATAAAAATCAAATCAATGGTATTCGATAATTTTATATAACATTACGAGAACATCGTTAATTACAAATTGTACTCGTTACTAACCTACTCCATATGAGGGTTAGATTTTTGTAGAATTATATTTGCAATGAAAATCTTATGCAATAATATTTGATTTTAATTTTTGTTCTTTTTTATTTACCTGAGTTTTTTGTGCGATGGCTAATGCAAACTCTTCGTCGGGTGCCGGATCGTTGAGTGTCATATTGGCAGATCCTCCTGCAATACCACATGCAGATACACCGTTCAGGGATTTGTTCGAAGCTATTCCGGAAGCTGACGAAGTTTTGACAGGACTTCCGCCTCCAACGACTTCGCGCTTCCCTGAAAACAATAATGGATGGATGATGTTAATCGTGCTCAATCAATTATGTTACGAACGTCATGGAATATTCAACAAAGTTTCTTTGATTTAGAATAACTTACGACGATTTGCATGATTCTAATCCGAATAAAATAGCATAAAATATTATATAAGTATTATTTACAAGTGCATTCATATTTTACGTATCATATTTTATTTTTTTTTAATTTATCGATTTAATGACGTATGTTACGTTTATTAAAATTTGTATAACGATGTAAAACGAATTTATTGATTAAATTAAATAAACAGCTTATTTCACTTTGAAAATGAAATATAATAGACCAATAATGAAAAATTAATTTATTGACTGCAACGCGCAAAATCAGGTTTGATTAATCAAATTTTATGAAATGCAACATACGCCCTTTTAATCACTTATAAAATTATATCTTAATTTTAATGATTGAATTTTTTAATATCAAACACTTAAATGTAATTAATAAAAGTAATATTTTCACGGGGAAAATCAAGGAAAAGCAATTTGCTTAGAAAAGTGAATGTTAAATTGATGAAAACGTTTAATTAGAAAGATGTGAGAATTCAAGGACGAGAATAGGATGTTTGAACAATTAACGATGCAACCACGCTCATAATGAATTCACCCTCATTCCTTGCAATGTCACGAAAGGCTAACTAAATTCCCGTGAAACCCGTGTACTGTGATTTCTCGAAGAAAATCATTTCTAACTCGTGGTAGCTTTTGATCTTAACTTTTTGACGTAACGATTAACCGAAAATTAAACACCAAAATTTCAATCGATAATCAAAGATAGTAATAATCAGAACGATAAGAAATGAAAAAGGTTTAACACTGTTTCCTGATAGACACCGATACTTCAAATGAAATGTCAGAAGATATCCATCGTAATGCGCTTACAAAGAGGAACAAAGAAAGATAATCGAGGACATGGCCTTGACATTATAAAGACACCTTAGACTGAATTTATATCCTAACCCTTTCGCCTTTCATGATTTCTAATGATATTACGATCCCTTTTTAATTAAATATTACGACAACAACAACAACAACAACAACAGCAACGCGACAAAAATAAAAATAATAATAATAAAAATATACGAAGTAAGGGAAAAGAGAGAAAAAAAAAAAAGAAATAGGAAAAATTTATAGAAAAAGATATGATCAAGATTGTTCGGTCATACTTTAACATCATATACCGTTACTTTCAAGCATTCTATTTGATTATGTATAATACATCTATGATGTATGTATATATGTACATAAATGCATACCCATGTACTCACTATGCCTTATAACAATTCCAGCGTTATTAGGCGATTTAAAAATCATTACTTAGTATATTACGGTACTTTTCTCTGTTCGTTTCTTTACCATGCATGTATGTATGTAGATCAAGATTAACAATACAATTTTTATTTATATGAAACACACTTCAGAGTCGAAAATAACGTTTGCCAAGAATCATAAGAATATTAAATATATAATATACATATAACTCGACTATCCAACTTGGCCCTAACATCGCGTGATGATAATCTTTTTTTCAAGCAGACCTATACTCATAATAAATAGCACTATATTATATTTTATATATCCTGCACATATTACATACACAGACACAAATATATATATATGTATGTATCGATCAAATGAGATACTAGATCGCGAATCGTAAGAGTTCGTTTCTCGTACAGTAACAAGTTACTGTACAAGTTGTTACCATTACGTTTAGGTATCAACACTATAATGTAAAAGGATAAAAATAAGGTCATTTATCTATTTTTCATTCTATTTCTTTATCTCTCAATTAAATCATACAAAAGGGAAGATACATTACCTTTTAAAACTTTGAAATTGAGTGCCGATTTCCGTAAAAATTGAATACACCGATCAATTTTAAAACGATTTATATTAAATGTTAATAAATTGAATAATATTTTAACAGATTTCAGCATCTTCCGATATTTATATTGATCTTGTATAATTTTTATCCCCAATATAAGATAAATAGTTGAAACGAACTTTCTTATTGTGATACATCTTACAAACTACTATTAGAAACATGGAGAAATATTATGTCAGGTTGTGGTTAAAAATAATAGACGAGATTTAAAATAAATGGCAATTCGAAGAAAACTATTCATTCTTTGATAAAAATAGTATTAGAAAATATAAAACATAGTACTCGTATAAGTTTTTGTTGATAAATAAATCTACCTTGGTTACTATAAAAAGGCATTGATTTTTTTTCCATATAAATATCTTGCATACTCTCTGAATTTACGTAGCGATTTCAAACTATGGACCGGTAGTCGTATATACGTATATATATATATATANTATGCACGAAGTGTATCATACATTGATACATTTAAACGTTGAATTACGTGTATACGTATATATATATATATATATATGTATGTATACACGGAAGAATGATAATTACGGTAAAATCACTTTTATTCTTTGAAAGATTGTGTTCAGTGAACGGTGCGTTCGCTGCTCTACCTTTTTTCAGGGATGCTCCTCGCTTGAGATGCCTCGCCATGAAGGTTGAAAGTAGTTGCATTATTTTCTTTTTTCCTTTTCTTTACCAGCTAAACTTTTCCCGTTTCACCTGGTCACTCTCTCCGTATTTCTCGCCATAATAGTTATGAGGTTTATCGATCGGTAAACTTAAGAAACAGGTTACACCTTAAATATCGATCCTTCATTGTCGACACCTTTTTCTTTTTCCCCCTTTTTTTTTCTTCTTCTTTTCTTTTTATTTTCCTTATACGAAAACTACGTATATCTATATGCGTGCGTGCATATGTAGAACAAACGATTTTGTACGCGTCCAATTTGAATAGAAAGCGTTCGATTATGGGAAAGAAAGTTGTACGACGTTTATCGCGAAAGATTCTATAATTCTATAATCGTTTAGAAAGATATTAAAATCGATCGATATAATAAACTTTTAACTTTATTAAATCGCGATCACCATCGAATATTATTTATAGTTATTGTTTTATGCATGTAAAAATGATACTTTCCTCGAGATATTTTTGTATTAATATATTGAAAACTCTGCATCTCGGTTAGTAACGATTATTCTAACAATGAATACGCATTTTTTTTATTAATGACTAGATTGTGTATTTAAATGATACGTGCTAATTTTTATTTATACTTGTACTAATGTTAAAAAACGTTATTTGCATTTCCATATGTTACCAATGAATTATTTTATAAGTCATAGGAAACAATATTAACATACAAAATTAATGACGAATTAAACGACTTTCGTGTTAGTTATTTTCTAAAAATAAATCCAAATTTTATAATCCTTCCTTTTTATTTGTACAATGGAAAAAAAAAAAAAAGAAAACGTGGTTGAAGACTATCGTAAATACGAGATGATAAAAATTAGACGAACGTTTTGATGCACGAGTTTGTTAATCAATGATTTTTTGGAGAACACGTGGTACCGATAAATTTGGCGGGAAATATTGGAAGTTCGCGTTAGGTACGAGTATGTATAGCACGTTCCTTCACGAAGGAGCCAGGATCAACTAACATAAGGTTTTTCTTTCCTAGCGTAAGAAGGAAGGATCTGTTGCGCGCTTGCGCAACCCTTCCTTTCCTGGAACATCAACCACTTCGATCTTTTGTATACGTACATTGCAAAATAAAGCTTGTCGTGTCATAAACATAGAATTTAAAATCTTTTATTTTAAAAAATAAAGAAAGAAAAAAAAGAAATATACCTATATAAGTAAATTAATCATTACCATTAGTTGATATTTTTTTTTTAATATTAATTTTTTAAATATTAATATCACATAAATATTTGGATATCCATTTTTTTAGTACTTCATTTGAAGAAATAATATTTTATCACTCCTTTCAAATTAAATTGAATGAAATACAATACGTATAAACAACATATATATAATGGTATGGTATATAAATATAATAATCAATAAATATATTTATATAATTTATCTCTCTAATAAAATAAAATGTTCATTTTATATAAAATTTATTCTATGAAATTCACTTAAACTTAAGATGAAAAATCGTGATGACAGATTGTTAAAGCCACCCACGACCTTCGTAAACCCACAAGAAAATTTCTTTCAAAGTCATGCTTGTTTCACATACCATCGGCGATCGGTTTCATTCATCTCATTATCCTATTCGGTCGTATTCGCGGTCGACCTTTCGTAATTTAACAAGTTCCATGGTTATCGAAGCGTGGCTAACGCTCGACTATGATCGTAGCTGCGAACAGCAAGGTGTACAACTACGGTGCCATTACTAGCCACGATTACACATTTTAAAATTCCAATGCACTATACACGTTGTGCGCTATTATAGTATACCAAAAAGGAAGAGAAAAAAATACTCATAGAGTTACGGTGTCGGATATCTTCACCCTTGGCCAACCAATAAACCACCAATCCACGCTTATTTTCACTTTGATTTTCTTAACGATTACTATATCTTCTAAAATTCCCAATATACGCTATTATTACATTACCGATAAGTAATTTTCTAACATTTTTTTTCCATTTATAATAATACGAAATTATTTCTAATAATGCACGATTTCATGTTTGATTAATATATTTAATTGTAATATAATTTGATTATTTGTTAAATTAACACGCATACACGCACTATTCAATGTTTAACGATAAAAGGATCAAAATGTATTTTTAATTTAAAAAAATAACGTAAATATTGTTATAATATACGCGAATACATGATTGATCCCAATGTTTATTTTTAAAATAATTTTTTTCAATTCTAAAAAATTGCAAGTTGATATAATTTAAGAAATATAATATAAGATTAATAGAAAATTTTAGAAATATATATATATATATATATATATTATATTGATTAAAATAAAATTACAAGTAAAAGGAAATAATTCTATATTTCCTTGATGTTCCTTCCCTTGAATAAAATGTAAGAGAAAAATATTACCTATATCTTCATCGTATGTGTCGTGCCAACATCATCCCATATGTACAATATGTACGATGCCCGTCCATGCGATTAATCGCAACGGTAAATAATTTGATAAACGACCTGCCGAGAGAAGGATGAAAATATGCAGATTTCACACTTGATATTTTTCTTAGACCGTTATCATCGTAACTAACGATTAAACGTATAATACATTTTAGAAGGGTTTGAAATCGATACAAATAAATATAATACAAAGAACAAAAAAACAAAAAGAAAAGAAGAAGATATTTTGATATCAACGTTATAAAAATTGAGAAACAGTATATATTATATCTATATTCGAATACTCACAACTTATCATAATTATTAAAAAACTTGCTTGACACTTCGATCGATTATTAATTATACTAATGGCTTAGAAATAGAAGATTACAATCCTATCGGGACTTAAACATATTATAAATGAAATCTGAAGTATGTATGTCTATGTTCTCTTGAATAACAAGTAGCAACAGCAGTAGAACGGACTTGAGTTCATTATTAAATCGATATTAAGTATAGGAGTGCAGAAACTCTGACGATAATTTATCAAGAAAGACCCTGCGTGTATTCCATACATGTACACGCTTTAGACGCCGTGTACCGTTCGATATACCGCATCCTGTCGTACGATGAACCGTTCTTCGATTATTATTTAATTATAATTAATCAAACAAAGACAAAAAATTAATGAAAACTAAATGCAAAAATATTATAAAAAATTAATTTTATAATTTGTCATACATATTTAATATTATTTATATTATAAAATAAATCACATCAAACAAATTTATATTATTTTTTGACTTACAATTAAGCCACCATAGTAATTAAACCGGCAAATTTATATTATAGGAAAAATACGTGATACACTATTATTTTCAATCATATAATTGAATAATAATATGTGATTGTGATAATAATATGATTTTATAATAAAAATTAATGATAAACAAAAGATACGGAAACGTTTCAAGTTTCTTTTAACACGAAACGATATAAAATGGAATATAATTAAAAAAAAAAAAAAAAAAAAAAAGAAACATTTTCCTATATAGAATTAGATGAAAGAGGAGAGTACGATGAAAGTTAATTTTATGATAAAATTATCTGAGATAAATATTATTTCGTATTTTCGTACCAAAAGGATTATTCAAAAATGTTCCTAACAAAAATGAAGAAAAAAAAAAAGAGAAATAATATAAAAGATGACAATTAGTTAATAAAATTATCCGACGTGAGAATGATTTTTCGAGTTTTCGGTGGAATACAAAAAACCAAATGAATGAATAAATAAATAAATAAAAAGAGAGACAACATATATCCGTGAGATGAGCGATGTGGTAATGGACTGGAGCCGTTCAGTCGGTCACATTGCTTACGAGCTACTACCAGTTTGTCGTTGTCGACCTCTCCCTTTCTCTCTCTCTCTCTCTCTCTCTCTCTCTCTTTCTCTTTTTCTCTCTTTTTCTCCCTTACTCACTAACTCTTTTATTTCTTTCACCAAGCCAACATCTGTCTTACGCGGCATGCCCTACTACGTTCATACTTGCAGCACAAACTGCCACGAACGTTCTCCAGTACGCATAACGACCCGTAGAAGAAGAAGAACGAACGAACGAACGAACGAACGAAGACGAAGACGAAGACGAAGATGAAGTAAAAGAAAAAGAAAAAGAAGAGAAAAGAAGTGAAATAAGAGGAGGAAGAGTAGGAAGAGTAGGAAGAGGAGGAGGAGGAAGAGGGAAGGAAGAAGATCGACTTTATGGTGCAAGGTGCACGCTCTTCCCGCCTCGGGAATTTCAGAGAAATTCTTCGAGGAAAAAGTCCCAACCTCTCAGCGTTGCACCGCGAGTTACTTGTGATCGTCCAAGAACAACTGAAAGAAAGCTGAAACTCTGACATTGAAAGAAAGAGAGAGAGAGAGAGAAATTCAACATACTTCAAAACTAACTTGAATTGTTTGACCTAACTATGTGAACACATTTTCTATACCACTTTCACGCATGCAGGTAAACAAATTCGTTGGCTGCTTGCTTAAATACTCAAATGAAAGCCGCGTTTGTACTTATCTAATATAATATCTCATTTTTCTCACAGACACACATATATTGTAATATGTGACGTGTTTTAAACACGAATGAAAATCAGAAATGATATTATATCTATTTTCTCTTATGTGTTATCTCAATAAAATTCAATTTTTAACGTACGTATCTCAATTCAAAAAAAAAAAAAAAAAAAAAAAAGAAAAAGTGATACGATTGTTAACGAATAAAAAGATATAGAAAGTTGATATAATAAACATAATGAATATGTAAATATTGCAGAAGAATTTCACACGAATGTGTATCCGAATACTCTTCGCATGTCAGGAATATCAGTGAAAGGATATTTGTTAGAAATAAATGATATAAATATGCAAGCGATGTCGTTAAATTCCTTGAACTCCTCCCTCGCACGTGCCTAGGAGTTTGACTAAAACGTTAAGAGTATTTAAATATACTAACGTACCATGAGAATAGGTATTCTCATGTATTCTCGTGAATAATGTTGTATCTGTCTTCTTCTCTTTCTCTCTCTCTCTCTCTCTCTCTCTCTCTCTTTCTCTGTGTTTTCCCAAATGCAAGACTAGGGGAATATGTATATGGTAAAAAAAAGAAAGTAATGTGGAGTGAAGAGAAAAAGATAGTTTGGAGTCCGGAACGTTAGTAAACCTTTCGAGAACCTGTTTCCGCTTTTGTCGAAAGAATCGACAGCCTTCGGACAGCTTCCTATTCTATTCTCATTTACATATTTACACTGTAAGTTCGTTTCGAAAAAGGGGAGTCGATGAAACTCCTCTTTTTTTTCATCTTCTTCTTCTTCTACTTCTTCTTCTCCTTCTGTTTATTTTACTCTTTTTAATTTTTTTATTTTGATTTTTATTCGTGCGTCGCGCTAAATTAACGGGATTTAAACTTAAATCATTTCAATTGAAAATCTAATTACTTCGAAGTAATATTAGATCATCGTGTAAATCGCGTGAAAATACAAATTAAAAAAAGAGAGAGAGAGAGAGAGAGAGAGAGAAACATATTGATCGTCAGTATCGACGAGTTCTACGAGTATTTATTATTAAACCGCACACGTGTGTACACGCGTATAGTAGACCTATTTTTCAGGCATGCATCGTAACGTTTCATTGATATCACAATTCTCATCGTTTTACAATAATAAGATAGATATTTGCAGAGAAACATTGGCAATAATAATAATCTCGAAAGAATATTAAAACTTGAACAAAAAATATTCTTTTCGTCGTACTCTCAGAAAAAAAAAAAAGAAAAACTCCTTTTTCGTCTCATTCAATCATAGAACTTCTGAAATGTACGTTTAATATTTATCGATTAAAATTAATTCAATTCTTCAAGAATCTACACAGATCTTTCAATGAATTTAAACAAAACGAAAATTATAAAAAAAAAAAAAGAAACTTATTAAAAAATACGAGAAAACAAAATAATAAAAATCTTTTAAAAGTTGACCGCGAGAGATGCGTA